CCATTTGCAATTTGGAAAAGACTCATGTGCTGACTGGCATACTCGATATAACCACTCATGAAAATTCTAAACATATAAACGGCTGCAAATTTGTTGTTGAGGTGAAGAACTTTTGATTGGCGTCAAGGTAACTACGTAAAACGGAGACAGGCAGACAGGAGAAAGTGAGACTCGTTGCGTTTCAGTGTCTCGCGAGAGAAGGAGAAAAAATCGAAGTTCGCCGTGGAATCGATTACTGGCATTAAAAGAAATGGAATTTCCACTTGTTCTGATTTCTAACTTTATGTTTTTCTTCTATTTTCTAGTACTTCTTGAACACAAACCGAACAGAATTATGATACAAAAATTAAATATTGTAAAGAGCTACAAAAGTTGGGAAGTTGTGGAGAGCCATACACGCTCATATTGTGAAGGGACATGGTACAGAAAAAGAAAGGATCTATTCAATTTTCATTTATTTCGAGGGAATTCATCCGACAATTATCGTGAGAGGTACATTAAAAGAATGGTTTTCCTTCTATCTTTATTTTCCATACTGTGTTTCAATTAGCATATAACTCCGATATATTCTTAAAAAATGGTTCTTCAAAATGGTTTTGGTTCATAGTACTTTTGCAGAAATGAAAATTCATGGTTGTCAAAATAACAGGACAAAATAACCAGCCCAACATGCAAATTATAAATTGAAGATAACAAAATCAAAAATATACAAAAATTTGAATATCTGCGAAATGTGACACTGAAATCCGAATGCGCATTACAATAGAGAAAGATGCCTTCCAAAAGCTAAGCAAAGTATTAAGAAAAATAAAAAAATCATTAGAAAGAAAAAAAGAGTACTGAACTATTACGTCCACCTCTATGGACATGAATGCTGGTTAATCTCTTCACTGACGTAGAGGGGATGTGAGGTAACTGAATTGTTGTTCTACAGGAGAATGCTGAGAGTACCATGGACTGAACATGTGAATAACAATAAAGTTTTAGAGAAAATGCAAACAAAAATAACATTTATTCTTAAAATCATAAAAAAAGATGCTATGAATACCATAGACTGAACATGTGATCAAAGATGAATTTTCAGAGGAAATTGAAACAAAAGGGACACTTATAATTAAAATCAGAAAGAGACAATTGAAATTTCTAGGGCACATAATGAGGAAAGAGTGTTTGGAAAATTTGATACTCACAGGACAGATTGAAGGTAAGTTGGAGAGAGGAAAACAATGCATAACCATCGTAGTGATCTTGAGTAAATTGTTGGTGGGTCAAGGTTTAGAAGAGATAAAAAGGACATAATTTATTAAGAGCTACAAAGAAAAGAAAATTATGGCGATTCATGATCTCCAACGTTCTGAAGAGACACGGAAGAAGAAGAGGAAAAAAGAAGAGGGGGAAAGAAGAAGAAGAAGAAGAAGAAGAGAAAAGAAGAAGAAGAAGAAGAAGGACAATAAAAAAGAAGAATATGAATAATCATCAATCTAATGTGAAAGTACATGTTGATAGTGTTTTACTGATGTTCACTTCTTCAGACTATTTCTACCAATCATTTTTATGTACCTTGTCCGTTCAAGATGAGGGCGATCATGGCTGTCCAAAAGAATTCTGTCGCTTTGTAAGCACAGTTTGACTTTGATTCTTTCCTGTCCCACTTTGTCCCCACTCTGTTATCCATTCACACAAACTAGTGAGGTAGATAACTCGATATATCTCTAGATCCCTCTTATCTTCAATATGTCCTGTCTCTATCAATATGTACCAGGTTGCGTTAAACAAAGCTTGACACTTTTCCATCAACCTTTGTTTCCTCTTTGTCCACGCCCTGTGAGCCATTCACTCAAACCAATCAGGTAGGTTACTCGCCGTTTTCCCCTTTCCCTTTGTTCAATAAGTTTTGGGATTATTAAATCTCTAAAAATGCAATCATCCTTTATTTGCTCCCCTAGTTTGCTCTTTAGAGATAAGAACGATCTTTCTAATATTCTTGTAAATTGTGATTTATTTTGTTATTTCATTATTTTTCCTAAAGTCGTCAATTATTGAACACATAAAAGCCTGGGTTACATATGAATTCTTCTTAGAGCAGGGCTTCTTATGGGCATTAAATTCGATTAAATCTTTTGATATATGTGGGAGTGAATACGCAAATATCCAATACCGAAGTCCGTTACAGGTATTGCTAAATTAGGAGTAAAACATAGTCCCATTCTGAATAGGCACTTGGCTCACATCACTCGCTACCAAGCGCGTCTGGAAGACCACTAGTCAAAATTTCATCAACACATGTACTCCTCCACTGTACTGTATTTAGTTATTCTTAGTAAGAAAAAAATTATACCTGATCGCAGTTCATTAATAACGTGACATGGGATAAATTGTTACTTAATTGTTGCACAATTGAAGCCTTGCGAAATTTTGTATTAATATATCAGAAGCTAGTTTATTTGTAATCAAATCTAATGAAAAGAGTTTGTATTCTATACCAAGAAATATCCATGGCGTTCATGTAGTGTTACCCTTTTGATCAGCTCCTGAATGGTATTTAGATGTTGTTTCTTGGGTGATTGTGGTAGCAGAAAAAAATGGTGGTCGTGATCGGAAAGCAGCCTCGTTGTCGAAAAATTCAGGATGACGGGAACCGGTTAAAGAAACCAGTTTTTTTTTAATCATCCCATGAAAGGCGATAAATCCATAAAGACGCAATGGCTAGTGAGAGTGAAAGAGGCCCAGAAAACGTTATTGAGTAGAGGGGATTATATATATATATATATATATATATATATATATATATATATGTGTGTGTGTGTGTGTGTGTGTGTGTGTGTGTGTGTGAAAATATATAGAAAATAGGAAAGAACTCGTTAGGTAAAAAATCCAAAGTTCTTTAGTATTTTTGTTATTATTTTTAAAAAATAGTGCTCGATACAAAAGTAGAGCCTAAATATAATTATTTATTTAAAAATATGATTCCATCGCTACATAAGAGTTCTCATGTTTCAAAACAAGAGCCGAAAACTTCAATATAATTATTTGAATTAAACTGAATTAAAGTACCAAGCTCTGTTCCATCTTCAAGCGAAATTTTATTTTTGAATAACTAATTCTTGAAATTTACGCGCTTTTTAAGCATATTCATTATTAAAAGTAAAATTACAATGGTAACGGCTAGAGCAATTATTTAAAACAAAAGGGGCGTAAGGGTTAATAATTTGTATCAATATCTCAGTTACATTCAAAGAGGTCAATTCAGGGTAAGGTTGGGGTGTCTAGTCTGGTTAAGTATCTATGGAGTTGAAGATGGAACAGAGCTTAGTACTTTAATTCAATTTAATTCAAATAATTATATTGAAGTTTTCGGCTCTTGTTTTGAAACATGATTGGAACTACCAAAGAGAGAAAAAGCATCATTAAAAGATTTGCTATGAAAATATTTGTAGAAAAGTGACAGGGAAGCTATATTACGGCGGCGGGAAAGTGATTGAGGCAGCGATGACAGATCAGGAATGATAAAATTACAGAGCCTTCTTTGGATTTTGTCAAGAATCTCTAAATATATAACAGAAGCACCAGAGCATATGTGGCAATCTTATTCAATACACAGACGACTAGTAGACTTGTAAATATATAAGACAGATCATGTCGATAAAAATTGTCTACAACGATTCAGTAAACCAACATTTCTGTGTATGCATGTGCTTCAGTAGTAAAACGTAACGACTGCTATTAGACTTTCGGAAAAGGAGAAAGCGAAGAGTGTCAAGTAGAGTTTCATCATTGTAGCGCCCATGAAGATGGACTGGGCTACCTAGTAAAACTGCTCTTGGTTTAAAATTCTTCCTTCTGTCAGCTTGATTAGTCATAAATCACAGCTTCCGGTCCACACTGGCCAAATCCTTTAGGTCTATACAACCAAATTAATTATTAATTCAATAATTTCCAGCTCGCTTGATGAGCGTCATCATATATCGCTACAATTATTATACACCAGAGAGTACTGAAAATCTATTGGCTGGAGTCACCTCTTAAAATCATACCTAGTTATCAAACATGTGGGTTTTCTTTTCTTAACCGGGCAGAAAACTTTTCCGTTCATAATATATTGGAAAAGGATAAATTTCACGATGAAAAAATTTAAAATGAAAAATTTGATCTATTTGTAGGTTGTTTGCGTTTATTTTATTCGAATACCACCGGTTCAACTAATAACTTTAAATAAAGGCGAATTGCACATTCACTGCGTAAAATATCACTAGCGAATCAATAATGACTTCAGCATTGAAAATATTCTTTTGCTAGAATGTGCATGCATGACACACAATCAGCGAAAGCGTATCCTCTGCTTGAAGTAAAGCGAGAATCAACCTTCATTATATTTTTGAAAGAAAAAAAAAGAATTTGCAAAGTAGGTGTGAAAAATGAATAAAAACGCATTCGTGGATATAAAGGTCGAAGTTCTTTTCTTATGGTTCTAGTTTTGTGAAAGCAAGGTCGAATTTGCGAAAAATATTAAAAAGGCAGAATTCATATTTCGAAGATTGAAATCTCCGTTGGGGCAGAAGTAGGATAGCGCATGCGCACATCGAACGATAATTAAGTGGGAATTGAAACTTTACGGCGTTGACATTTCCTTTTCAAGTTGTTCAACATTTTGAATTGATAAAGTAGACGGCATTCCGGCAGTCTTATTTTTTGCTCAAAATGGCGCATGTTATTCTTTTCTTTTTAGCCTGGAAGAGATCAGGCGTTCTTGGTCCGTGTCATTCGTTTTACCCATTTGATCCAATGTCACGCTTTATTTCTTTAAATTTTTGTTGTTGTTTAGAACGGATCTCGATGAAAGTGAGACGTGAGTGCAACCCGACGGACAGTTTTCCTGTAACTCAAGACAAAGCATGAAGCGTTTTATAGTTGCGTGAGTTGTCTAAGTTTCCGTTAGGTTCAGGTAACTGGTATCTTCCTCCTCCACAACAAAGAATGCATGGAGGAGATCAAAACGGCATTCCAAACGGCAGCCCATTGATGCATATTTTTCCTCTCCTTCCCCATTTTTCTCTCTGTATTAACCCACACAAACATACACGCTCTCTCTCTCTCTCTCTCTCTCTCCATATCACTTCCTCTTTCAATTATATATGCATAAACTCTCTTGGATAAACTGACCTTATTACACAGAGAATGATCTTATATTTTACACACACAGACAGATTGCGATGGATAAATTGTCGTCTAAATTATGCAAAAATGAAAATAACAGTGACATCTTATTTTAAGAGATATATTTACACAAAAAAATATCTTGCATTACAAAAGAGTAAATTTATTCAATAAATTCGCCATTGTCTTCAACTACGGCCTCCTGCATCTCTTCTGAATGCTTTCCTGTTTAATTTGGTGAATTCTGCCATAATCATTGCCTTCAGTTCATCTTTGATATTACAAGGAGTTTTTTTTTTTTTGGTCTCTCGCTCAACTTCACTCCACACATAATAATCAAGGGGGTTGCAGTCTGGGGGAGTTAGGTGGTCAGATGTAAAGGGCGTTGTGGCTACAGAAATTTTCTGACAGCCATGACTAGTTTCTCCTGCTTGTGTGGCATGATGCAGAGTCCTTTTACCAGAAATAGGGTCTTTCAGTTGCCACCGTCTTGACCCTCCGTGTTGTGAAGCTCTTACCAACAAATTTTGGAGTTCATTTCTCATCACAACGATCAGAGTGAGTTTTCTGAGCTGGCGTACCTTCGTAATTACTATTAGACTCATCCAACTCTTTCCAAATCCTCTGCACCTTCCTAAGATGGACACCCGAACACTCTGAAATGTTCGGATTGGAGATTTCGTCGAGAATGCCAAGCATTACAGCAAGACGTTTCCAAATTTCTGGCGGAGAGATTTGTCTCATGGAGCTCCTTTTTTTTTTCTTTCAGACGGTACCAAACTAACGCTACTTTACTGTACAGTCGACAAAATCAAAAACAAACAACGCGCATGCGGGAAATTAAAATATGTAATAGTTATTTTCCAAGCGTAGCTTAGATGTGGCACAAGGCCGAAAGTAGGCGGCATCTAGTGAGGATCGAACTCACTTTTCAGTTGTAACTGATTTAGCGAGACAAGCTAGCTAACCATTACACCACGCCGAGACGCTCCTAACTAAAATATGTAATATGGCGATAATTTACTCCTCACTCTATGTATTACACTACACTTTTCTTTCTTTCTTTCTTTCTTTCTTTCTTTCTTTCTTTCTTTCTTTCTTTCTTTCTTTCTTTCTTTCTTTAGTATTTGCTTCCCTACAATGTTATCAACTAGGCAATGAGCCATATGTCAACTGCGTGTCTGGATGAGTAAATACCAATATGCGTGAAGAAGCAAGTAAAATTAAGATGAAAGAAATACTAGTAAAAAATAATAATGGCCGACAGTATATAATCTAATAATAAAAGATAATATTACTAATAATGCAAATAAACTTAAGATGCTGGCAATACTAATCAATAATTATTAATAGTTAACAATGCATTAGCTAATGACATAACAGTACAACTTCTACTACTCTTAGAAAAAATAAAACCAGTAAAGTATATGGGGAAGAAGTATGAGTCAAAAACTGATAATGGTTGACAATGCTTGATCTTAACTTTGGACAACTAAAAACTATTAGGTCAAAACTAAGTCGAAAAACTACTAATCAAATATGAATAATGACAATGAAAGAGAAAGAGAGAATGGGGAGAGAGAGAGGAGAGAGAGAAAGAGAGTGGGGATGGGGGAGAGAAAGAGAAAAAGAAAGTAGAGAGCGAAAGAGAGAAAGGAGAGAGAGTAAGAGAGAGGAAAGCGATAAAAGGAGAGTGAGGAAAGAGAAGGATAAAGAGGGAAAGGATGATAAAGAGAAAGTGTGAGGGAAAAAGTATAGAAAAAGAGAGAGGAGAGAGAGAGCAAGAGAGAGAGCAGAGAGAGAAACTGGGAGTGAGGAGAGAGTGAGAGAGTGAGAAGGAGTGAGATATGAGCGAGATAAGTGAGAAAGAGAGGAGAGAGCGCGCGAAAGAAAGTAAGTAAAAGAACGAGAGCGAGAGGGTGAAAGAGAGATAGATAGATAGATAGAAGAGAGAGAAGAGAGAGAAAGAGAAAAAGGAGAGAAACTAAGAAAGGGAGAAAGGAGAGAGAGTCATAATGAGGAGAGATAGCGAGAGATAGCGAGAGATAGCGAGAGAGTAATAAAGAGAAAAAAAAGAGAGACAGAAGGGATATAAGAGAGAAAGAGAGAGATTTAAAATTGTGAGAGAGAGAGAGAGAGAGAGAGCGATAGAGAGTGCGAGAAAGAGAGTGATAGAAAGAGAGAGAGAGATAGATGGACCGAGAGAGAAAGAGAGAGATCGGTATTCGATGAATACATTCGAAGCTTAGTTTTTCTTCCCAAGTTGGTTAAATTCTGCAAGTGCTTAACGATTTGTCAACAGTTTCTGATAAAAACAATTCACCAAGAAACAGAAGAAACCCCACCCCACAAAAAACAAACTCCGAATCAAAAACAGAAAAATGAAACAGTCAAATTTTTACGTAAACAACGTTAAGAATCAAACAATCATTGAAAAAATAACACACACACAAAAAAAAAAGAAACAAAGAACAAACAAACAAAAAACAACAAAAAACAAAAACCAAACCAAACCGATATGAGTCTTCAACAGAATCGATTTCTTTTGCAAGGAAGAAGAATAGATGCATTATTGGTCCGGCAAATGAGTGCAGCAAAGGAAAAATGTCAGTGCAGCTAAAAAAGAAAAGCAGTGCATTGTATATTTTAAAATTAGCGCTTTTGATTTTTCCTTAACCTAATCTTTGGCATTTTTCCAGTTTTAAGAAAGAAGTCAATCCTCGTTTCGAATGAAAGTTGAATGCACAAAGTTGAGTTTTAGCCAACAGGAATTGGTTCGGTCATTTTCATTGCCACTTTCCTTTTCTCTATAATTCTATTCTTAGAATTACACTGAATCATGATTAATGGTATTGTAGGAAGTTCAACGGAATTCCAGGTTCATGCCTTCCGTAAAGACATGAGCACAAGATGAAACAATGGCCAAACAAGTATATCATGAAGATTTTCTTCAAACTTTCAGTGTATTATATGCGATAAAATGAAAGTTCTTAATAAACTTTGGGCTGAACCTAAATTTGTGCAGGATAGAAATAAAGAGTGAGGGCGTGCGGGAGAGAAAGGGGAGGGATTGCCAGTATTAATAGAAGCCATCCAAATGTATGCTAAAACCCCTCCATTCAATAATTAGTCAGACGAAATATGGCTTTCGAAATGGACAAATAGAACAATAAATTGTAAATTAAATTCTGCGATAATTTTGTGACGCATATTTTTAATATCCTGGATTAAAGAAGTTTGAATTTTGATATCCTGGGTCACACAGGAATTAAATTTAATTATAAATTAAATTAAATTATTATGCATTTCTTTAATTTAATTTAATTATCCTGGGTAGGACTTAAACAAGTTCGATATTTGATATCCAGGAATTAAAATAAATTATAAATTAAATTAAATTATTAGGCATTTCTTTAATTTAATTTAATTATCCTGGGGAGGACTTAAAGAAGTTTGATGCTTGATATCCAGGAATTAAAATCAATTATAAATTAAATTAAATTATTACACTTTTTAAAAAATTAATTTTGATATCCTAGGTTTTGTCGGAATTAAAGAATCTCGAACTTTTTTATTCTTTCATTGGTTTTAAAAGATTAAAACATTTGATGTTATTTTGAAAGATTAACCGAACATTGTAAAGTCTATGGTGAAAATGAAAGTCATGAACAAATAGTCTCCAAGACATTCTTGATACATATCAATCTATGTTATGTTAACGGAGTGGTTCTGGCGTCGTCCCATCAGGTTCCAAACATGGAGAGTGGTCATATCTGGCGATAGTGCCTGCCAGGGAAACTGTCGAACATTTGTTTCTTTTACATTTTTTTTAGTCATGTTCGTCCTTTACAAGGCACGGGGAAAATTCAAGATGGAGGGCTACGTTTGGAGGCAATTTGTGCAGATAGAATGGGAAGATAACGGTTAACACTAGACTTGAACAGGTTAAGATTGTAGTGATCTAGTATACGTTTTCTTGGGAGTCTGTTTCCACAGACCAGTGGTTTTCAGGAAGAAGCTGTTCGAGTGGAACTTACTCCCCCACTGATGGAATACGATGGTTGGCTATGTAAGTGACATGGCGTGTCATTACTGTAAATGTTTGGACTGATGGAACGTAAGAATAGTTCGTCCGAGCACTTTCCATGGAGCAACAAGAAGCTTGCCGCATCCCGCCTGGAGGGTGGGGACTTGTGGACTCTATGAAGGCTAGAGAGTAAACTCTAGGCAGCTCCCGCTCAAATATAACACCAGTACTCCATATTTGGCCTGATCTGGCTCCTGTAAAGGCAGAGGATAGCATAAGGAATCAGGTACGTACTGGAGCAGCACAGGGAGGCGACCAATTTTAACTGTATCTTTGGCAATGGATCGTATGTACGAGTTCTACTTGAGGTCAGGTATGAATTTGAGCCCATATTGTCTTTGAAGTCACGGTGTCTCCTTGAGGGGACATCTGTTCATCGTGACTTGTAGTAGTCTGGGGTCCGATCAGCGATGATGGAATGTAGCAAGTTTGGATTTGGAGGCATTGAATGTAACTATCCGTTTATTTTTTGTATCTCAATGAGTAGTTTGTGTTTGTTCTGAAGAGTGATCAGTTACCAATCTGTATCCATCAAGAGTTTTGGAGCTATGCTGGTATATACTCGTATCATCAACATAAATGTTTACAAATGATCAGAGTATATTCTTAGGCGGATCATTTATGCAAATCAAAAAGAGCGTTTGTCCGAGGAGTGACCCCTGGGGATGCCTGCGTTGACCACTAGGTCTCCAGAGGACTGACCATTAATAACTAATCGAGAAACTCTTCCAGTGATTTCATTTGCTAGAGTTTGTGTAGCAAAACTTTGTGCACACCTTGTCAAAGGCCTTCAAGATAATTAATGCTATGGCCTTCGAGTTGTGTTTGTCGTCAAGGGACTCCCTAATTCTGTGAGTGATGGTAGTTAGGAAGTCAACAGTGGATCGGGCCGATCAAAATCTATATAGCTTGT